GTTCTGACACACCCCCATAGGCAAAGTGGGGAGAACAAGGGGTCACAAGACCAGTCAAGCAAAGCAAAGCAAAGCTCAGGGTGGATCACAAAGTCACCACGCATTCCGAGCACAAGTTCAAAGGCCACAAGGCCAGTTCACATGCAAGATCATATATAGAGATATACAAGAACAAGAGTATATATATGCGAAAGTACAAGCAAGGTCAAGAGGAGAGCAAGTGAGGCAAGACAGGCACAAGACCCAACTGCGTGCAACAACGCTGATGATCACAAGGCGCAAGTGCCTTGGTGAAGACATCAGCAGTGTTGGCCTCAGAGGCCACGTACGCAAGTCGCAGCTGTCCACGCTGCTGTAGCTCACGAGCAAGAAAGTAACGAAGAGCAATGTGCTTCGTTCTGTGCTCCAGTCGCTGCTCTCGACACAAGGCCAGCATGGCCTTGTTGTCTACGTACAGGACTGGAGGAGAACGAGGCTGCTCTCCAAGGTCGGTCAGCAGGTAGGTGAGCCAGCGTAACTCCTGTGCAGCCATAGCCCCAGCGTAGATCTCAGCCTCACAACTGGAGCCGAGAACAGAAGACGAGCGGGTAGCCCGCCACGAGACAGAGCCGGAACCAAGGCTGAAGGTGTAACCCTGTGACGACCGCTGCGTAGCCTGGTCGTCAGCCCAAGAAGCGTCTGCGTGCCCAGTGAGGACCACTGGACTGCGCCCTCCAAGCACTAGCCCCATGCCTGACGTACTGCACAAGTAGCGCAACACCCTCTTCGCTGCAGCCATGTGCTCTGGTCGGTGTCTCCCAGGAGCAACAAAGCGTGCGAGAATGCTAAGAGGGTATGCGAGGTCAGGTCGTGTGCAGGTCATCAGGTACATGAGGCAGCCAACAAGCTCTGCAAACGGGCCACTCGACTCTACGGACTCATCCGAAGGCAGAGCTGAGAGCGAGTGGCGAGTAGGCAGAGGAGTGGCCTGAGGCGAGGAGTACGTGAAGCCGAAGCGCTGAAGGACCTGCTGCACCATGTGTGACTGAGTCAGGGTAATGGTGCGGCGTGCTCTGTCCCGGGTGATCTGCAAGCCAAGGTAGCTGCGCAGTTCACCCAGGTCAGTGCACGTGTGTCTCTTCTGCAGCTCGGACTTCACGTAGGCGAGTCCAGCAGTGTCAGCTGTGGCAAAGACCAAGTCGTCGACGTACCACGAGGATGTAGAACGGCGGCAGAGAGGTGTCGGTGCGCAGAAACAGCGACGGGTCGGCAGTGGAAGGAGCAAACCCAAGTGCCGCGAGCGTAGTCCTCAGTGTGTCGTGCCACTCACGTGGCGCCTGGCGGAGACCGTAGACTGGACGCCGGAGACTCCACTGGGTACCAGGAGGGAAAGACCCAGTGAAGCCAGGTGGGCGACGCAGCCAGATCTCCTCGTGCAGGCTGCCCTGCAAGAAAGCTGTGCTGAAGTCGAGAGAGTGCAGCTCGTAGTCACGGTGAGCAGCAACGTGTAGCAGAACCCGAAGAGTGGTCATCTTCGGGGTGGGGGAGAAGGTCTGAAAATAGTCAACCCCCTGCCGCTGACTGAAGCCACGAGCCACGTAACGCGCCTTGAAGACAGGCGGAGAACCCGGCGGCCGCTTCACCCTGAAAATCCACATGCCACTGACGATGTTCGCCCCAGGAGGGGGAACAGCGTCAACGTAGGTGCCTGTGGACTTCCAGGAAGCCATCTCTGCATCCATAGCTGCCTGCCACTGAGAGGAGTAGGGACCCTCTATCGCCTCCGCGTAAGAGCGCGGAGTCGGGATGTCTGGTGCATCCGGGTCTCCCTCAGGGGCTAGCAGTACAGACGCGAGACGAGGTGAAGCGGCGGCCAGACACTGGAACTCCTCCTGCCTGTCCATCAAGGACGTCCGTGCCAAGGGCACACTCACCCCGACAGACGGAGGACAGGCGGACTCAGACTCAGTGACAAGACGAGCAGCGTAGTCTAGACGACAGCGCGCAGCAAAGTCGACAAGCTCAGTGACAAGGGCAGACGCAGCAGACGACTCGAAGGAGGGGTCAGTGACAGCAGTAGCCAGGAGACGCGTGACAGTAGGACTGGCAGCACGAAGGGCGTCCGACTCCGGGTCGGCAAGAGCAGGAAGAGAGGAAGCAGGAGGAGAAGGCAAAGGGGCACGCAGAGGAGCAGTGGACGGACGCAGTGACATCCGGTGCGTGCCAGGGACAGGAGGAGGACGCTGACGCGACCCGCGACCACTAGCGCGCTCAGTACGAACAGGCGACACAGGACGAGACGCAGGCTCACGACGCTCAGTAAGACCTCCAGTCGGACCAGCGTAGGGAGAAGGAGCAGGCAAAGGGGAGGCAGGCTGTAGCTGTGGCTGTGACCGGACAGGCTGCGGACCCTCTAAGGGAGGAGGAGGAGGTGTAAGACCAAGAACCTGCTGCAGGAGCGGAACGAAGTACGGTCGGGGCCGCGCGGCGACGCTAGAAACAGCAGGAACAGCACCAGCAGCCCCGGCAGGAGCACCCACTCCAGTAGCACCTCCAGCAGCACCACCAGAAGCTCCAGAACCTCCAGCCGCAGCACCAGGAGCACTGTCAGTCGGGCCGCCAACGGCAGGCTCAGCACCAACACCCTCAGCAGGACCAGCTCCAGGAGAACTCTCAGACTCAGCAGCTCCAGCACCCACAGTACGAGCGCCGGCGGGGCGCGCAGCAGCAGTACCCTCTGCAGCCGAAGAACCACCAGCACCAGCAGCACGCCTCCAGCGCCCGGCAAACCACTCACGCAGCTCCTGTGGGGAGAGTGGCTCCCGGCGAGACGAAGCACCCCCAGGCACAGCACCTCCAGGCTCAGCACCCCTAGACACAGCACCCCCAGGCACGTCACCCCCAGGCTCAGCACCCCCAGGCTCAGCAACCCCAGGCTCAGCACCCCCAGGCTCAGCACCCCCAGGCACAGCACCCCCAGACTCGGCACCTCCAGACTCAGCACCCCCAGACTCGGCACCTCCAGGCTCAGCACCCCCAGACTCCGCACCCCCAGGCTCAGCTCCCGCAGCAGCACCAGAGTCACCAGTGACCTCGACAGGCTCGACCGCGTCTACCTGGGACACACCTGAAGGGGCAGGACCCTGAGGGGGGAGGGGGACTACCGGGGGGGGACCTGGTACCAAGAAGAGCGGGGGTGGGGGGAGGGACGGAGTGCGGTAGGGGAAGAGGCGGTAGTAGGGTACCGACTCATCGAACGTGACGTCCTGGGAGGACAGAACACGTCGAGAGGTGGGGTGGTAAAACTGCCACCCAGGGGCGTCGGGGGGGAACCCCAGGAAGACGCAGGGAGAAGCACGAGGGGATAGCTTGTCCGCAGACAGGTCGCGAACAAACGCCCGAGATCCCCAGACCCGGAACGCCGACGCATCGCCAACCTTCCCCGTCCACAGCAGGGCTGGGGAGGTCTCCGGTCGAGAGACCCTGGGGTGGAGGTTGATCTGGTGCGCAGCATACCTGACCGCAAACGGCCACAGAAAATGGGGAGCAGCCGCATGCATCATGGACGTACGAGCGACGTCCATGACCATGCCAATGCGGCGCTCAGCAATCCCATTCTGCTGCGGTGAGTCCGGAAGCGTGAAGGTCTGACGGATGCCTCGCGCACGACAGTAGGCACTCAGGAGGCCAGAGGAGAACTCTCCGCCTCTGTCCGAGTGCAGACGCAAAACAGGGAAGTTAGAGCCAAAGCTCCTCCGAAGCTGGAGACGAGCTGCGCGGATCCAGTCGATCAACACCGCAGTGACCTCACCCTTGCTGCGCAAGGGGAAGACTGTGGTGTAACGCGAGTAGTCGTCAACCACCAGCAGGAAGTAGCGCTCCTGACCCTGTCCACGGACGCGGGCTGGGCCCCACACATCCATGTGAAGCGTCTGCAACGGGGCCTCTGTCGGAGGAAACTGGGAGGAGTGAGGGGCAGCACGCTGGCGCCCCTCGACACAGGGGACACAGGTGGGGCCAGGGCCCGGAGGAAGGGGAGGGAGAGACCGGGGAAGACCAGACACAAGGACTCGCGAGGCCATGCCTCTGAGCCGAAGCAGAGAGGGGTGGCCAAGGCGGTGGTGCCAGAGGAGGGTCTCGTGAGACAAACGACGGCACGAGCAGGGGGCAGACTCAGGACCAGACCTGGACGCTGCAGCAAACACCTGACCAGACGAAGTGACCCTACCAGACTCAGCACCTGGAGGAGAAGCAGTGGTCAGAGTGTACAGGCTCGACCCTGGCCGACGTGTAAACGTAGCCAGGTGGCGACCTGTATCCGCCTCCGTGCAGTGGGTCACCCGCTGACGAGCAGGGGTGAACTGGTGGACACCCGCATCCTGGAGGTCAGCACCACTCACCAAGTTCGTCGAGAACGAGGGGAGGTAGAGACCAGTCAGGGTGCCAGAGGGGGCCGCCGGACACGGGAGGACAGTGGAGAAGCGAGACAGGACAGGCCCCCCAGAGGGGTCAGCCAGGGACACCGCAACCGGCCGACTCAGCGGCGTGAGAGTGGTGCCGTCCCGAAAGAAGGAGCGAGACGCTCCAGAGTCAAGGGTGAAGGTGTGAGAGGCCGAAGCCGACACAGTACCTGAGAGGGCAGACTCACCAGCACCTGAGAGCACAGACGCACTGGCACCTAGAGCAGCAGCCTCACTAGTACCTGACGCGGCAGTACCAATGCCCGGGTCGGGCGGGAAACACCGGTAACAGTCATCCTCATCACTACCAATCGCAGCATACATAGCAGAGAGAATAGCATCAAAATCAAGATCATAAATAGCTACACCAGCCCTAGACAGCTCTCCCCAGCGGGGGATCTCAGCTGCCTCCGGAAACTGCTGACGCCAGGCGTCAGTCAGGCGGCCAAAGCAGCGGCGGGCAGTGTGGGCGCCTCCACACCTCTCCCTGCACGGTCACCGGTGCGGAGAACGTAGGGGCAAGGACCAAGCGCACCACCACGCTGACGCTGCGAGTACCACTCACGGAGCTGCTGAGGGGCGGGGACGGTGCGAGAGCGCTGCTGCTGCTGTGGCTGCTGCTGCGGCTGCTGCTGCTGCTGCTCGCTGGCGCTGACCACCCCCGGAGCTGCTCCGCTGGGACGAGCCACTCCGACCCCCGCCTCCACTGCCACCCCCGCCTCCACCGCCACCCCCCGTCTCCACCTCCACCTCCCCCACCAGGACCGTCGCTCCCACCGCTCCCACCGCCTCCTCCGCTACCACCTCCGCCGCCACCTCCGCCTCCACCGCCGCCACCAGTACCTCCACTCCCGCCACCACCCCCACCGCCACCCCCACTCCCCCCCGCCACCCCCCACCGCCTCCTCCACCGCCCCCTCTAGCTCCACCCGCTCCCTTGCCCCCCTTGCCCTTGCCAGCGCGGCGTCTGCCGCTGGGGGCAGACGCCGCGCCGACCGACTCAAAACCAGTGAGGTCGGCCGCAGCGGCAGAGGCGACAGAGGGCAGCAGGGGGGAAGGACCACACCCCTCAAAGATAGGGGTGCGAGGGTCACCCCGAGAGGCCCCTACAGCGACAATACTCTTCTCAGCCGCTAGCAGGGACTCCTCAAGGAGGTCGACAGTGAGAGTGGTGGGACAGACAGAGAGAAACTGGTCCCTAACGACACGAAGGGACTCAGGGAGACGGGGTGACGAGAAAGTAGAGAGTGATGTACATGGGAGGAGGGTTCGCAGCGCGGAACTCAGCAGGAAGGGCAGCGCGGTAGCGGGTGTCACTAGCACGGAGGTGGGTAACGAGGTCAGCGACAGTGGGAAAGGAAGCGAGGTCAGGGAAGAGAAACGGTAGCATGAGGCGGCTAAGGGTAGCGGAGGAAGGGGAGGAGTAGCGTGCAACTACAGCGTCGTACAAGGCCTGAGCGGTCTTGCACTGACTAAAGTGGGCACGCTCAGAGGAAGGGAGGTGGCGACGCACAGCAAGACGTGCAGCAGCATCGCGGGTCGCCCACTTGGAGCGAACGGCAGAGTCAGCATCAGCAGGTGGGGCAGGGACAGCGCCAGAGACAAAGTCAAAGAGAGAGACCTCATCTATCGCATCACACAGTAAGTACAGCTGCAGGTCTTCAATCCAGACGGCAAAGTCAATGGCCCTCCCCTCAGCGTCAAAGGTAAGAACATTGGGGGTGGCCATGACAGCAGCTGAAAATCTCACCGGGCTGGGAGAGGCGGGTAGGTCAGCAGCAGAGGAACAGCAGCACGGCTCCGCAGGCGGCTCGGGCGGCGCGGGCGGCTCGGCGGCGGCTCGGGCGGCGGCTCGGCGGCGGTTCGGCGGCGCTCGGCGGCGGCTCGGCGGCGGCTCAGGCGGCGGCGGCTCGGCGGCGGCTCGGCTGCTGCTGGGCGGCGCGGGCGGCTCGGGCGTCACGGGCGGCTCGGCGGCGGCTCTGGCGGCTCGGCGGCGGCTCGGGCGGCGGCTCGGCGGCGGCTCGGCGGCGGCTCGGCGGCGGCTCGGCGACGGCTCGGCGGCGGCTCGGCGGCGGCTCAGGCGGCGGCGGCTGCTGCTGGGCGGATCGGCGGGGCCGCGTAGCAGAGTGGCGGCGGGGCCGCGCCCGAAGAGAGCGGCGGGGCCGCGACCGAAGAGGGCGGCGGGGCCGCGTAGCAGAGGGCGGCGGGGCCGCGACCGAAGAGAGCGGCGGGGCCGCGTAGCAGGGGGCGGCGGGGCCGCGTAGCAGAGGGCGGCGAGGCCGCGTAGCAGAGGGCGGCGGGGCCGCGATCGAAGGGCGGCGGGGCCGCGTAGCAGAGGGCGGCGGGGCCGCGTAGTAGAGGGCGGCGGGGCCGCGTGGCAAAGGGCGGCGGGGCCGCGATCGAAGGGCGGCGGGGCCGCGTAGTAGAGGGCGGCGGGGCCGCGTAGCAGAGGGCGGCGGGGCCGCGAGGCAGAGGGCGGCGGGGCCGCGTAGCCGAGGGCGGCGGGGCCGCGATCGAAGGGCGGCGGCGGGGCCGCGTAGCAGAGGGCGGCGGGGCCGCGATCGAAGGGCGGCGGGGCCGCTAGGGAAGGGTGGCGGAGCCGCGAGGGGAAGGGCGGCGCAACGGTCCGCTAGGGGCGACACGACGGGTCGCTAAAAAAAAAAACGCGCCTCGGGGCGCGGTTCGGTGGGCCCTAGAAGCAGTCCCTAGGAGGGAACCTGCTCTGATTCCATGTGAAAACAAAGAACGAGAATGGAATGACTATGAACGAAGTGAGTACAAATAGGAAACCCTAATTGGGTTGTACCCCCTATGGGATACCCCACTATAGCCTACAGAAACAAGTAAGCTATAAGTTCTGACACTCGGAGCTCGTACAAACAAGCCAATTTCGCTCACCTTGACGTGCCGTAGCGGGATGCTCGCAGCCCATGCATCAGCGTCCGAATCAATGATCCACGAACAGCATTTTACGACCTCGTTTCGTAAATACCTGCATATCGGATGATGGTTCTTCAATTATTTAGTTACCCCGTTTTGAGTTACGAGACAACAGCATACTGCCATTTGAGAGCGAATACCTGCGCAACGGAGCGTCAACACCGTCATGGGTACCGTTCGAGTCAGCGTGCCATAGCACGCAGTTCATGGGAATCGTGTCGTCGGGTCTCGGGATTCTCTCGATGACGATCAAGCTCCAATGACTCCTAATGCGCAAACGAGGACTAGCATCATTAAAAACGACATTATCATTGCGAATTATTTCTGGTGCAACGGCACGACGCGGCGAGAACTTACTCGGTATTGATCGGAACTAGAACATGTGTGAATTCGAATATTCCCAATCCGAAAGTGTAGGCGTTCTCAGGCCTCGGTGTGTCCTTCCGAGCGTAGTCCCAGAAATAGGATCCACCGTAAAGCCACTTTGTGCGGTTGCGACCGTGTTCGTACTGCAGCATCCTGCGAGGTGCGCAGATTAACGCCAAAATAATAGCATGAGAGAACCGTGTCGTCACTGTGTAATGAGTCTATATTCGTGATACTCACACACCGAGCCAATCAATCACGATTCCGCTGACCCATTCACCGGGTCGTAGCCTATTGGCGTGGTCTACGGTTATGTCGAGCCAGCCTCCGCCGTAGGGAAAGGGCATGGAGATCGGCTGAAAGGCTAGTTTACTATCTAAGCTTGGAAGAGCCATGGCTGAATGTTCCTGACTTCGAGTTGCGAGTGGCACTGGGGAAATTATGAGGAAGCAGCACCACTTCTGAATCTGTGCTTTGGAGCCACGCTACTATGGGTCACGAGTTGCTTTGCAGGTTGTTGCCACATTCGTTAATTTTCGCTACTCGTACCCTAACCTACCTGAACCTGGAAGATGTCGCAATCGCATGGACGACATTCGCCAGAGGGCCCCACTTGTCGGGGCTCTTTGGCAATGGTGTCTGGTTCCCCATCTGCTGACATCACAGATACATCCCCCTTAACAGGGGGAGAGCCAATCAAAACATCGGAACGACGAGGTGGAACACCTTCTCGGGGCTAGCGATTCCACGCGTCAGACTCTCACCGGTAACTTGGTGGCTGTTGTGAATGTGTCCTTTTTCCCCGATTTGGGCACGCGCCATCCCTAATAATGTTACGGCGCGCAGAGGTCCGTCCACTCCACACATGCACTCTCCCATCTTCTGGGCGCAGTAGTGGATGCCCGTTAGATGAAATCTAACGGTGAAGACAGAATGAAATCCTCCAGCTGTTTAGGGTTCCCATCTGACAGCCTAACACGTTTGTTGCACGAAGCAGCGTGATTGGTGCATACGTGTAGGGCTGTCAGAATTAATCCCTGGAAGAATCGGAGCCAGGCCCCTGGAATTCATAGAGTTTTTCCCTTGCTCGACCTGTTGTTCAGTGTGGTTTTGTCACTTCCCGCTCCGTGAAATTGAGTTTGACGTTCATGTTACTCTCAGGACCTTGACATGAGTAAAATCGTACCCTATAATTCAGTATAAGAGAGTGTCGTCAGCCCTAATGTTTTCGCATGTAGGACATTCCAACACTGCTAGGGCTCTTCTTGCTCTCGAATTTTGACTAAGTCTCTGGCATCTGGCTTGGGCACTGGAACTCTCGGAATGCGGACAAGAATATGGAAATATACTCGAAATGTGGTACTATTGCCCTGCCCATGCGTCCACTGCTTCCTCGCATGTCCAGCCCTGTCATGCGTCTGCTGCTCCGTCTTAGACATCCTCCAGTCAAGCCTTTACTGCTGCTTGCTTTGTCCTATCCGGTCATGCCTATACTGCTGCGGCCCTTGCACCACTCCCCTCCGTAATGCTGTCCCCCTTTCTCTATCCACACGTGCCTTCCCTGATGCCCCCCTTGCTGTCTCCACCAATGCCTCTCCTCGCACGTATGTGATGCCTCTCCTGCTGTCCCCTTTTGTAAACTCCACGCATGCCTCATCTGCAGCCCCCCTTGTCTCGTCACACCATCATTTGGCCCTCTTGCCTCCCCTTCTTTTGCCATTTTCGTGCCTTTTGCCCTTCCTCCGCTCCTGGCCCCCCTGCTTCTCATCCTCATCCTCATCCTCTTCCTCCTCTTTCTCCTCTTCCTCCTCTTCCTCCTCTTCCACTTCCCTCCAACTTCCCTTGCCTCTGCCTCTCTTGTGCTTTCTACCCTTCCTCCGCGACTGCCCCCCCTGTTTCTCATCCTCCTGCTCCTCCTCTTCCTCATCTTCCTCCACTTCCTCTTCCCTCCTGCTTCCCTGCCCTCTGCCTCTCTTGTGCTTCCTGCCCTTCCTCCGCTCCTGCCCCCCCTGTTTCTTATCCCCCAGCTCCTCTTCCTTCTCCTCTTCCTCGTCCGCTTCCCTCCTGCCTTCCCTGGTTTTCCCTCCCTTGTGCCTTCTGCCCTTCCTAAGCTCTTGCCCCCCCCGTTTCTCATCCTCTTCCTCATCCCTCCCGCCTGCCCTAGGTCTCTTGTGCCTTTTCCTCTTCCTCCGCTCCTGCCCCCACTGTTCCTCGTCCTCCTCCTCCTCCTCCTCCTCCTCCTCGTCCTCCTCCTCGTCATCCTCCTCCTCCTCCTCCTCCTCCTCATCCTCCTCCTCCTTATCCTCCTCCATGTCCTCCGAGTTGTACACCTCCTTTTCTTCCTCCTTCAGGTCCTTCGTTTTGGCATCAAGCTCAGCCTTCCCCCGGAAGGCCTCAAATCCTGACTCGTGAACATACAGCCCACGGTCGCCCCACTTGAAGTCCTTCATGTCTGTGTTGTACACAGGGGTGTGGCGTGTGAAGTGGTCCTTGATAATCCACCGCACATTACGGTGCAAACCCCCCATCCATTCACTGTTCTTCCGGTGGGAGTTGGAGACGTTCCAGTCAGTCCTCTTAACCTTTGATAAGCCCTGGTCAATCTGAAAAGGCATAGCACAGTATGGGATGGAGGAAAAACAGCAACTTCAGTGGACACTCGCGTGCAGAGTTTAGAGGCTGCGCTAAATGCCCCACATACCATGCCGAGGGACTATAAAACAGCATGCCAAGCTAGAGCATACCATGGGTTGAGCAATAATTGCGTACCACCATGATTGACCAGGCAATGTGGTATGCTTTGACGCACACCCGGCGCCCGACACAGAAATTCCGAAATGCTTCCCGGACCGCATCTACAAACCGGCCGTCGGCAAACGGGAGCCCGTCTCTGTTGTTTCCCCACGAGCTGACCCGTTGTTTCCCTCCTGCGCGCATGTATGACAATGCGGGGAAGCATGAGACATCCGTGATCATGCATGACATGGTTTAGGGTTGTCCAAAGGGTATGGATGAACATCGAGGGCGGGGGGGAATGAATGGCGAGAGGGCGGGAGAGCAGGGGTGGGCGGGAGATAGGGGGAGGGCGGGAGAGAAGGGGAGGGCGGGAGAGAAGGGGAGGGCGGTAGAGGAAGGGAGGGCGGGAGAGAAGGGGGTGGCGGGAGAGAAGAGGAGGGCGGGAGTTAAACGGGGGGCGGGAGAAGGGGAGTGTGGGAGAAGAACCAACGGATGGCTGTCATGCGGATGTGTTTGCACATGCGCTACAAGCTTGGGCGAGGAGAGCAGGTATGTAGTCGCGTGCCAAAGTGGGGATGCATTGGGGGTATGTGCTTCATCAACGTGGGGCATGCACGAGGGGTGCATGAGAAGACATGTCAATAGGGGATGGAAAACAGTCACGCAAGTACTCACTCGGTTGGTATT